GATGACCACGCGCCCGAAAAGGAAAAGCAAGATTCGAGCCCCCAATAAAAGCCGGATCGCCCCTGCACATCGAACTCTCTGGAGAATGTCAGACATAGGTGCTTTTGCAGGAACCCTGCAGAGCACGAACCGTGTCTAGCCCGCGCGGTCGGCGACGGCACCCCCTGATTGGTGTGATTGCGGATGATCGCTGATAGGAATCCGGTGATATCATATTATTGGGGCCCTTACGCCTGCCCGCTGCTTGTCTAGCCTACTTGGGAGACGTACATGCTGTTATTAGATGCTGGTCTCATTTTTCCTACATATTGGCTCTAGGGCCGCGACTCCGGTGCCTGAACATGGGGTTCGTCTTTAGTACCATTCTTCTTCCTGTATAGTGCTTTTGCAGTATCGTGTGAGGTTGGGTTTACTAGGTTCTAGGCGTGTACTTTGTGCTTGGGATGAACTTTTGTCACACTGTTGTATGTCATTCTTGATTTGGGTGGTTTCTACATGCTCTGTGCGGCCTTAGATGGGGCACGGCCGATATGTGATCAGATGAGAGGGCTTAGTGGTCGTAAGCTCTTGTGTAGGTTTTCTGGGCAGAAATGCTAAGTTAAGTTGGGGAGCAGATAGCGCAGAACTCTATGGTCATCATTTTGTTGTCTGACGGATTTGTCAAAGGGGAATAGTGCTGTGTTTGACGTGTACAGTGGTCTTCTAGGACATCACAGCAATATTCATAACAATCTAGCTTTCAAAGGGGCTATTCATGGGTTCTGGAGTCACGTAGATACAATCAAGTATAACTGGTACGGCAACTTGACTTTCCTCCCAACGGTATATTTATATATCTAATTGTCTTTCCTGATGTCTTGGTAGACATGATTTGCTGCTCCTCTTCCATCTTCTTGGTGGTGGTGGGGGGAATAACAGACAAGCAAGACCTAAAATTGTAAACTTCAAAATATATAAGGCAGCCTCCAACCTTCGTGTGATCCGAGGAGAATGCCGTAAACGAGCTTGATCTAGGTTTTGGCACCAGTTCTGGGATGAGCCAGGCCTTGAGGGTCTTCCCTCTTTTGTAGTGTAGGGGTGGATGGTGTGCAGTTACTGTGGCATTCATTGAGTGGGATTCTACTAGCGAAGCTAGGTTGACTAAAACTGATTTTACTTGAATACGAAAATATATTATATATTTAGATCTATCTAGCCCTATAATGTGTAGAGGTCAAGCAACTTTCATATACTATATGGTTGTATTCTACATAGTTGAATGTGAATATATATGCGGTAGCATAGAAGCCATAAACACGGATACAGCGTTTTCTAGGCTACCTTAAGCACAGCGAGCCTTAATCATTATTAAAACACAACAGGGTGTCTCGATTATCTTTTATGAGGCGATTTGCAAGCGATGTATGTACTTACAATTCATCCACTTTCTGGAGTATACCTGCTCTCGCCGAGATATCTGCCTTTGCGCTGACAGCGTGTTACACTTCACAGCGTCGGGCCCAACATGATATCATCTGGCAGCTTGGGATTCGAATAAAATAAAACCCAACTCAATTTATTGTCGAAACAACAAATAAATGAAGAGAAGGTTGAAATGGTGAATGATGAGATAAACAGATGTCATATGCCCAACTACGACCACTGGGCTCACCTTCTTCGTCCAACATTTCCCTTCCTTTCCTCCAACCACAATCATCGCCCCCCGTATACATTTATCTTAGGTGGTCTAGTATTCCATCATGTGCCAATACATATGACGAATTTGGGAATGAAGGACGCCGTCATCTCATCCAAGAAAGGCCAGAGAACGACCCCTGACTGTGAAAACCTTTCCATTTTGGTTCAGCGATATCTCAAGCTCAGATCGTTTGCGAGACATGGATCAAATGAAGTCATAAAATGCCGCCTCGGTTCATTTAATCTTCGCCAACTTGGCCAACCCCGATGTGGCTCGAGTTTGTAAGTTGTAAGTAGACTAAAAATGCGTCCCCGAAACCTTACTAGCAGTTTTACTCAAAAGATGGACAGGCAAGGAACAGTCCAATTCTTTGGTACCTTAGGGACATGCCAATAACCTTCGGATTCGAAGATGAAGTTGAAGCGCGAACAACTAGCTCACACCGTATGTTAACCTGAAAGGTTGGTAGGACATGATGCTAGCCTTGAATTGTCTTGCAGAGCCTGGAGCTATAAGTAGAATACCTCCATGGACTTTGCTTTTCACTGATTGCATAATCTCAGAAATCTAGAGAGAAGGCTCCTGGCAAGGACCTGACCCCTGACCCCGGAGCAAAGCAGGGAAGGGCAAATACTTCCGCCATGAGCAATCTGTCATGCTCTCCAGACAAATCTTTATCATCACAACCGATGATCCAGTGAATAGGTGACAGCGATCAAGGTAGTCCCTAATTTTGCGATGGATTCTCACTTGCCTTGCTACAATGTGAGGAGATCGTTTCTCGCGTCTGCCGGTGAGTCGGCTCGTAACCCCCGATTATTCCCATTCGATATGGTCGAGTGAAAAGGAGCATCCAGAGGTCAACCTCAAACCCTGTGGCTTAAACAACTTGAGCGATCGTTTTTGGCAGCCACTAGCCCGTTGTGATAGACTTGGACAAGGCCACAAATCTATCTGAGCTACTACAACAAAGGCAATCTTTGAGGTCCTCTGGCACGGACAGTCCGAAGTAGCCAAGTGTTGGACGGCGTCTGAATTTCAATAGTTTGGACTGACCACCCGGAGTCTGCTATTGAAAGCTAATATAGCGGTAAACGTATAGCTATTGGAACGAGATAATGACCTGCCAGGTTCTCTGCGAGAAGCGCCCTGAGGGGCATTCTTTCTTCCCCTCGCCCTACACAGCAGGCACGATCCGCTGTTAGCCTTGTTCTCATATGGCTACATATCCTCGCCAAAGTGAAGGCAGAAATTGCAAAGGAGATGGGCGGATGCATCTGCCCAACATAAAGAGTTCATCTATCAGCAGGTTTTAGCTGCTATCAATGTTCTTCGAGCTATGGGAACTGTGTGGACAGAATTTGGCACCCTTGTTATTTGCTATGACCCATATGTCGCTCTTGCACGGGGCATCAACGTCCATGCTGCCATTTTAACTCTTTCATGCTTATGGCTTATGGCTTGTGTACCGACGATGGTATTGATTTTCGTCCTGGCCCTTTCATATCAGCAGTAGCCTAGGAGAATGAACGATTCTTACCCTGCAGATGAAGTAGGAGGATACACAAACAGGGAGAATATCTTTTGTTTACAAGAGTGTATGGGCGGAAGGTGCGATGCTTGCAATAATCGTAGATATGTAGATATGACTTGATTTCCTACACTGGGATGTTACGCTTCAATTGTTCGCTATCCTGGCCTTATCCTTCACTAGGTGAGTCCTGCATACTGTCCTTGAACTGATTTTTAAATACGCAAAGACCAAGATTCCATCAATATCGCGACTTCTAGCGTGAATAGCGGTCTAAAGACTAATGACTCGGCTGCCACTTAAAACCACGCGAGAAATTTGGAATCAATGCCAAATTATCCAAATCTTGCAACTGCAAGCACGTAGCTGCCCGCTTGGTCCAAGCCCGAATCATTTGAATAAGTGCATTGCCCGAAAATAGGCCGTGATACCAAAAGATAGCCAGCCGAGACGAACAGGTATTACCAATCCCTGAACAGACAGTGAAACACGAGGGACCTAGGAACCAATAATCTGGACAAGTAACCAGGACAGATGGGAATCTCATCTCCGACAGATGCAAGCCCAGAACCGAACGTGTCGCACTTCACGACGTGGGCGCCACCCGACTCCCGCTCATGTCGTGCAACGGAATGCCGCAGACAAAAAAGGAAAGAAAGAAAGAAAGAAAGATAAAAGCAAAGGAAAACTTGGCTTAATCCTCCGAGAAAATCCCCGGGACTTCCAAGATCTCCACAATCATGCAGTGTTAGTGGCGGTCAGATTCGAAATCTCAAGGTGCAGTTCTGGGCGCATGCAGAAGACAAAGGCGAGACCAACGGGAACTTGCAGGTTTGCGTGGTTAAGTCAAGAAAACGCGGTCAGCGATTTTCATTTTTGTGAGATATCACTGCCTATCATCGAGAGTTTGGGGACGGTCAGACATCTTCCTGCTTTGTGATGGATCCGGAGGTGCTGGTTTGCCGCAAACCTCGATTATCGGTGTGTGTTGAAGGACTGGCTTATACTTTGGGGGCCAGACCGATGGGAACGACCGACTTGAAGGGTGGGGGGGTTGGGTTCCTGTTGGGAAGATGCCTGATGGACTGCATCAAGATCGAGAGTAAAAAAAGACAGATCGCACAACTCCGCTGCACTACCCAAGACCACGTTTCTCCTGGTCATCCCGGAAGCGTTCATGCTGGTAAAAAGGGTGGGTTTCATAGAGGCGCTGAAGTCTTAGAGTGTTATATGAATTCAGAATCCAGCATCCAGCATCCAGTATCCAGGGGCACTATAACATGCTGTCTCCTTTGACGCCATCGGCTTTTGATTTAAGCGTGCGCCAAAAAAAAGAAACGTGGAGCTTATCTTTTGGGGGGACATTTGAAACACACATGTGAGATTTCAAGATTTCGAGCTCCGGACTCCGAGCTCCGACTTTCGAAAGATAACGCGATCTTCTCAAAGTATGTTGGAATTTCATGAATTAAATTGAATGGGCATTGCAATTTAAGACAATATCAAGATAAATGTGAAGATAATATGATAAATATCTAAAAAGCCAACGTTGAAGACAAAGAAAGAAGAAAAGGAAAAAAAAAGGAGGGGGGCTCATGGGTGTGTACACGAAGGAACGGGATGCCAACGCCATGACTCCAACACATAAGCAGAGAGAGAGAGGCAGCAATTTTAAAGAAAATGGCGTCAAATAAATATCTTCCTTCTCGACATTCTTAATGTCTACCTAAGGGGCGCCCTTTCTTAACTTCTAGGGGCTCTGTACCTTTTGAAGAAACTCCCCAATTCACAATGACTGCCGACACAGCGATTGTCGACACAATGATCGTCGACACAATGACAGACGAAACAGCGCCACTATTGGGCTCACACACCATCAAACCAGCTCAGCACCCAAAGAAATTACTGGTCTCCATCGTGTGTGCTATATTTTTGCTATCGGCCGACTTTGGGTTCTTCATGTCCACCGCACCACAAATAGCAGTCTATGAGGAAATCATCTGCCGAAACTACCAGGCCACTCTGCACGGGGCGAGAAATGACACTCTGATTCCACCCGAGGTCAATCCGTGTAAATCAGAAGCTGTACAGGGAGAACTGGCGCTCGTGATTGGGTACCAAAATACATTCGATGTGGTGCCTGGTATGTGTCCTCTACGATATATTGACGTTAGGATACTAATATTTTGGAAATGTAGGTCTTTTACTCTCGCTGCCATACGGTGTCATGGCAGATCGCTGGGGGCGAAAGCCTCTTGTGTATCTTAGCATGCTAGGCATTCTCCTAGGGGAGGTCTGGGTCAGGATAGTTTGTAAGTTGGTTAAACTGTTTAGTCGATGTTTTACTGATCTTTTAACAACTTAGGTCTATGGTCGACTGTCATTCCCCTCCGGATGGTCTGGCTGGCAGCTGTGTTCAAAATTATCGGTGGCGGCGATCAAGTCCTCACGGCCATTGCTTTGGTCGTAGTGGCTGATGTGTTCTCGGAAGATGAGAGGTACTACTTCTATTTCTATGACGTGATCTTCCTATGCGATAAATCTAACATATATACAGAGCAACTGCACTCTTCCGTTTACAGTCTTGCGTTCAAATCGCAGAAATTCTGGCCACTCCAATTAGTGCTTATCTGATGACCTTTGGTCCAATGGTTCCCTTTATGCTATCGATATGCATCATTCTTGTGGGAAGCATGCCGGCCTTCTTCCTACCTGAGACTCTCAGAAACGCAAAAGGAAAGCGAGTCAACCGAGAAGGCCCAGAACAGGAAAGCGAAGGCGATCAGTCCCAGCCTCCGAGAAAGCAGACAGTGTTGCAGGAGGTCAGCCGACAAGTTCGCGAGTTTGCACAGTCGACACGTTTCATTTGGGCCGATTCCAATGTCTGTCTAATGGTCTTTGTAATGTTCGTCACCGTGATGAGTCGACAATGCACGAACCTGCTTCTGCAATATGTGTCAAAGAAGTTTGACTGGAGTATTAGTCGCGTATGTGCCTCTCCTCTCAGTCGAATAATGAAAACCCCCCTACCCACCTTCCCGAAACTAACCATGATATAGGCCAGTCTCTTGATCTCGCTGCGCGGGATATTTTCTATCGTGACATATTTGATCATAATGCCAATCCTGTCATTCTTAACCGCCGAACACCTAAACCTCCGCGGGAAACGTAACGACTATTTCTTGAGCAAAGGCAGCGGTGTGCTTTCGATCATTGGATTCGCCATTATCTCCATGGCTCCGACACCGGCTATCTTGATTGGTGGTCAGGTCATCTTGTCAATCGGCTCAGCATTCATGATTACCACACGCAGTCTGGCTACTTCACTTGTGCAACCCGACCATGCTGGCACTTTATATTCGGCGATTGCCATTGCACAGGGCTTAGGAACACTCGTTTCCGGCCCATTATTTGCCAATCTCTTCCGGTTAGGCATGCATCTTGGAACGGCCTGGATGGGGCTGCCGTTCTTGCAAGCCTCTCTCTTTTTCGTTATTGCTGTCATCGCTGTTTGGCACATTCGACTTGGACCGTCTCCGCGAGCCAATGATGAGGAACAGGACCCCTTGTTATCTTAATTTCTATAATTCTTCGGTTAATTTCATTACATCCAAGCAAGCCAACACGGGTTCCTTCCTGTGGAGAACGCCATGTCAGCCTGCAGAGATGGTGCAGACGAAAAACTTCTGTAGATATTCACCGAGTAGCAGTAATCCTACCCATCGAGATATCCACAATAGCCATTGTCTTCTAAGCGAAGCAATACCGGCTTTCAGATAAAACAGTCCGAATCCAGAGCTAAGCAATTTGGTTCGTCAGGCTTAGGGCGATCAGCGGGTTTAATCTTGCGGGGTCGGATCAACTTGGATTAACTTGGATCAACAGTCGGAGATCCGAAGGAGTAGCCCGGTCGATGCAACCTCAAAAGGCGTTTCGTCAGTCTTCTTCAGACGAAAACCGTCGGACCAGAATTTAGCGCTTGAGTGCGTTGTGCATTTCTGTCTCGTCATTGGAGAAAAAGGAGAAAAGTCCACCACTCAACTTGCCCCGCTCGATGATCGTCACCTACTTCGACTAGCTCTACGGTCCTTTATAGTACTTCTTCCCGGAGACGATAGGTGTAGCGGCGACATCCGAGAACAAATCAGCGTCTTCTTATCGGTGCATGTGCTACATTGGCTATGTATCTGACGATGTTTATGCCGAATATGGTCCCTGGACTAAAGCATAAAACCGTCCGATGATCTCCTTACATCTCTTCACTCAATTCAACAATTCCATCTCAATTCAATTTTGGAAAAAGAAAGAGAAAAAAAAAAAGAAATGTTCCAATCCAAATCCCCAAAGGGCATGCTCGCCCTAGCAGCCATGAGCCTGATTACCGGCACAACTGCCAACCTTGAAACCTGCGCCAGCAGCACTGCTTTCAGCTGCGTGAGCTCCTCAACGGAGCCAACCTGCTGCTTCAACTACCCAGGTGGTGCCCTTCTCCAGACTCAATTCTGGGATACCAGCCCATCAACCGGTCCCGACGACTCATGGACCATTCATGGATTGTGGTACGTAAATACCGACATTTAACCTGGTCTATAAGACAATCACCCCCTTATCAATCCCCGAAATCATAGACTAACCCTTCCCTCCAGGCCCGACAACTGCGACGGCACATACCAGTCGAGCTGCGACTCGGAGCGCGCTTACTCTAACATCACAGCGATCCTGCAGGACCAGGATCTCGGTGACTTGGTCGACTACATGGACGACTACTGGGTTGATATCAACGGGGATAACGAGAACTTCTGGTCGCACGAGTGGAGCAAGCACGGTACTTGCGTCAACACTATAGACCCCAGCTGCTATTCCGACTACAAGCCACAGGAGGAAGTAGGTGATTTCTTCCAGAAGACGGTTAACTTGTTCAAGAGTTTAGATACACACAAGGTATATCCTCTCTCTGCCCTTCATGATATGCGCCCTTCATTTCTGACTGTTTCCCAGGCTCTCGCCGCTGCTGGCATCACCCCGAGTACTTCCAAGACCTACACTCTCAGCGCGATCCAGAAGGCTCTTACTTCCATGCATGGCGCGTCGGTTTACGTTGGCTGCTCTAGTGGCAAGTTGAACCAGGCTTGGTATTTCTTCAATGTTAAGGGTAATGCTATTGATGGAACATACAAGGCTGTCGATACGCGTAAGTTTTATCGTTTTCTTCTGGTGAGTTCTTTACTGACGTTTCGGCCCTTTCAGTGACTACTCCTGGCTGCCCAAAGACTGGCATCAAGTATGTGCCCAAGTAAACAGAGAACAGGACTTGGTGTGTCTTGGTGATGATTGTTCTTGTTAATTTGCACAAAGTGTCACTGAAGTGATATCTCTGGATTATTGCTATAGTACATGTTGATACAGATTCGAATTCTCGTTAATCTGATATGATGATGATCGTTTTGATTGACCGTAATTTTTCACTGGGTATAAATGTAGACTGGCGGTTGTATTGCACAGCCGTTGACCACATGGTCATGTTCAGGCTCAAAATTTTGAGACAAGGATATCTGCCATTCTCGTGAATCCATCCGGGCCCTGCAGTGGACATAAAGCACGCGGCAATTTTGGGTACCGGTGAGTTGGGTGGGGGTTGGAAGTCGAGAGCTCACCCTTTCAATCGGGGTCGAGCGAGTCATTGCTCATACAAGGGTTGTAGAGAGTTCCGTAATATCACGATTCTGTGTGAAGCCATACCCTTGTTGCAGCATGCAGCGGAAGGAGGAGTGTTTCTGACGCCAGAAGGGGTTTGGGTAGAGAGCGCAGGAGGGCGGGAGGGCAGTTTTCATACACCCTTGAGCCGTGCAGCCCGCCGTTCGTCTTCCCTCTTGTCTTCCATACGACCCAAGAAATCCATGCGACCGATGTAACCCTCCTTAGCTTTGCTATGCGTGCGCAGTTCGTCTTTGATACCCGCTGAATCGACGTATGAGGCCCAGTCGAGTCTTGACTTCTCCACAGTGTTGATTTTGGGTCCGCGCGCGTCCTTGTCATCCGTAACGAGTTGTTTCTCCCAGCTCTTCTTTATTGTGCCGGTCGGGTTGGGGTCGAATCGCGAGATCTTGCGAAGCGGTCGCCGAAGGTTACGAGCAGCGTTTGCGGCTGCTGCATCCTCATCGGCGTATTCAACATTCTCCCCACTCGACAAAAACGCTTTAGCCTCCGCCGAGTGTTTGGGCACGACCTTCTCCTCGGTGATCCATTCTCCGGCAAACTTGTAGGTGCGCTTGATCTTGATCATTTGATCGGCGTGCGCGGCATGGCCTGTTTTGTGTTCCACATCTCTCGCACCCTGGTCCTGTGCTTTCGTTGGTTCGGGTTCGGGGGCCGATTCGGGTATCTGCTGGGTCTGGGGTGGCTGCAAGCTGGTAAGGCCTTGGGGGGCATTCATCTGCTCCCATAGGGCGTCCACGTCCACGGTCGCACCGTCGATCCTGGCTAGCGGTTTGCGCTGTTCTTCTTGTCTGCTCGGAAAATGCGCATTAGAAGCCGACAATAAACAAGTCAAGGGACATGGGCCAGACCAAAAGTCTCACATTTGTTGTTTCATTGCGCGCGTTCGTACGAATCCCCCTGTTCCTCCTTCATCGTCGTCCATGTCAATGTCGCCATCGTCATCGTCGCTATCGCGCGCGCGTTTGCCCTTGGTCTTCCTTCCCTTGGTCTTCTTCTCTTTCTTCTCCCTTGCTTTTCTGATTGTGGCCTCATCTCCAGAGTCGAGTTCTGCATCCTTGGGGATTTGAGATTGGGTATCTGTCTTTCGCTTCTTCTTTGCGGGTTCTGTAGCCTCGTCGGGATCGGAAGATAAGTCGGAATCGTCCGGTGCCGCGTCTAGCTCAAAATCTTCATCCTCGGCGGAGTCATAGACCTCCTCATCAAGCTCCTGATTTTCTGGCAGAGTAGGGTTTGTCATTATCAATGTTCTTTTGCATGTCAGGGGTTATCAAGAGGAGAGTAGGTCCGGAAGGGCAAGGCGCAACAATGTAGATGAATTTCTGCCAAAGGCGGTGTCACAGCGATGTGCGTTCGTCATCTCCAGAGCTCGACCTTCAGATAAGCTAAGCTCATTTGTCTCTACAATACTAAACCCATCTCTCTCAAATGTCACATCTCATATCCCATACAAATACTACCGACCGCGCTTCCGAAAAAGCATAAACCCTTCCACATGATTGGTAGTCCTAGACCAAGAGGAGTAAGCTCCCAGATTGGCTGCTTTCTTGATGGATACATAGGACCGGATTACGGATTTCATAATAACAGGATAGAGGGTTGATACCGGGAGTAGCAATGAGCGAAAGTGATAATATTCAAGTTTTGAGAGAAGAACAGAGAAAAAATAACTTCCCCCGAGGAACAGACCACCCGACGGGCTATTCTTCTTGGGCCAAAGCCAGAAACAATTTTTTCATCGAGTCATTTAAATCCAGTCCGAAACGGGCGCCGCACCGAAATCGCATGCCTTTATGGGGCGTCAGCGTCTATATAACAAATTATGGTTAGTACAACTCAGCATCATGATTGAGGGCAGCATGATGATATAAGAATGGAGCCATGACGATCAACCAGGAACCAAGGTCAAAGCCGTTGAGAGGATTGGAGGGGGTGGGAGAGAAGTGAATTATTCTTACCCGCCATCTCCTCCAGAGTGTGGAATCTTGTCCACAACCGGGGTCCATCGCCTGGGGCGGGCTCGCGGACGACTTGGTGGCCGGGTAGTTGGTGGGTGGGGAGTTGGTTACCGGGAGGGTTTTGCTGGCCGGCGTCACCCACTCCGGCGCCATGGACAGGACCGTGACCGCCCATACGGTCATAGCCACTGCGACCACCTTCACGATCAGCATCACGGCCACTGCCGCCACCACCACGAACATGGCGGCCTCGGCCTCGGCCCCGGCCCCGGGACCGACCCCCACGGGCTGAACCACCACGTGTACTAAACTCCTGCTGCGTAGGTCATGCACGTCAGATATCATGGTCACTGCTGCCATCCCAAAAGAAGGTTGGGTTGTGTGAAAAATGGGGGCATGGGGTATTTCTTACCTCCAATTGCGCTTGGATTGCGCGCACAGTGAGCTCAGCAACACGGGCGTCACGAGCAGCAGATGGTTGAAGACCCTCTTGCTATAAGTGGTATCAGTATAGAGCCTCAGAAAGTCGAGGCCGATGAAAAGCAGGAAACCGGACTCATAGCATACATCTACCTGCTGTTGAATTGCCCGCACCATCAGCTCGGCAACGCGGGCATCGTGAGCGGCGGCTGCGGCTGCTTGGGCAGCATGTTGCTGTGAATGAAATCAGTTTTGCTCTGCAAACATCCCAATAGTCAATGGAGTGTTCAGTAGGCTCACACGACGCCTGGAACGCCAGGTTTCCTTCCGACGGCGGTGGGCGGTACTGCGGTCACGTCTGCCACCGCTGGGGCCAGTAGGAGGGGCGGGCTGCTCGTTCATTGTTTAACAAAACCACAAAGGGAAGAAAGAAAGAAAGCAAGAAAGCAAGAAAGAAAGAAAGAAGAGGAGCACTAGACTACTCGCTGTGGATATTGATAGCAGTGCTAGGCAAGGAGGGAGAATTGTGTTTGGGACGAGAAGTTTACGAGGAAGGAGTTGGCGTTTGTCCATCACAACTCATATATTAGAGCGTTTGTGCTTGCCTTCCGTTCTAGAGACATCAGATTTCAGATACATACCTAATCAGAAGCAACATTCAGTAGTAAATAGGAAAATCAACCATGCTTACGGCAGAAGCTGAGGCCACTAACCCAGGGTATACAACGAGAACGGGGATTCATATGAGTCTTGATGATGGTTTATGGCATATAGTTGCTTATGTAGTATGAGGAGGACGGGGGCTCTCTTGGCTATTCATCTTCCCTTATAAGTATACTGCTTGTGGGTGTGATGACTTCGGCAACTCTGCCAGTGTACACTTTTATGTTAGTCTGGGTTCTGGTTCTGTAAACGTAGGCCATAATGGTCATGCAATCGGCGTTTAAATGGCCGCGTTCCTGCAGAAATGACAGAGCGAGTCTCATTCGGTCTTCATTTAATTGGTTAGCTCGCGAAGATAGACTTACCAAAGGCTTCTGGTATCAAGAAAACATAGCTGGATCATTTGTGACACCCATGTTGACAGGGAATAGGTACGTACGCACACACCACGGCCGCCATGGTCAACACCAAGTGCCATCTTCACAAATGGCAGTAGGAGTAAGTGGAAAAGAAAAAAGAAGAGTAACTGGTAGCTGTAAGTGTTCACAATTATAACTTTGCTATGACTGTTCTATCCATGCATCAATTAACTATTGTTCAAGAGTCGTGTATTTTCATGCGAACTCACTGTCACCCAAAGAGGCAGCCTAAGGCGTCCATCCTTACCCTCCGGCTAGGGATCATGTGCGGTCAAACCTGGGGTATTTCCGTGAGGAAAATAGCTGCCCCATTGTGCTGTTGAGTAGTAGCCATTTAGCAATTTGAATCAGATATTGTAGAGGTAAAGATCGTTCCCGGAGGGCGGGGGTTGAGAGTGGGACTGTAGCTTCGTGGTATGGTTAGGAAGGTGCGGAGTAAGTAGTTGGATATCTGTTATATTTCTACTATGGTAGACTACATATGTATCTAGGTATATGTATGTTTTTGAGATGTCATGATGTATTATGGCAAGAAACGATTTCCAAGTCTGGAAATGGAGAAGATCTCGAGAAACTTGTAGTACTTGTAGCCAGTTCCATGTAAAATGCAGTGAATACTTAAATATTCCTAATGCGGCTTTAGTCATTCCCCATTGGCCTACGCAAGCAGGGGCTTCGACTGAAGAATGTAACCCCGATCTCTGGAATGCAACATTAGAGGAGGTCATGATGTTGAAGAAGCATCTCATTATCAACTCCCATGGTTACTCGCAATCCTGTTAAGGCCATAATACCGCTTTGGGCCAAATTTTCTTCTGGTTCGATCTTTATCTTCAACTGAACTTGTTGTCTACATGTAGGTTTTTATAGTTACTATCCCAGCACATGTAAGGATCCCACTATCTTCTGTGGCTGACTTATTCAATCTCCCTCTTTCATCCATGTAGCTTTCTTGGCCATAAATATGAAGAATAATATGATGGCTTGCTAAGAATGTGGGCCTTGTAATCATTTTCCACGTGGGGGCTTTCTTCAGATTCCCCTCCTGTCAACGTTCCGGGAATAGACATCGCCTTGAAAGAGGACTCAATGGTTTCATTGCCTTCAAGATGAATGTAACGTTCAACATCCAAAAAGAAAAATTCCAAGTTTCCACACGCCCAATATAAGGTCTTCAGTGAAGCTACTTGAACTTTAAATCTCAAGATCTACTCTATACCTATCAGAGCGCATATCTTCGCATTTTGAGTCCCTGTGTTCTTCAATATAGAATTATTCGACATCCAGATGCATTTCTTTACTACTCATCTCTCACTCCTACTTGCTGCATCAGCTACCCTCATCGCCGCTCAAGATGCAACACCCACATCCACAAGCACAAGCGGGAACTCGAACTGCGCTTCCCAAAAGTAAGCTTATAGGCCTATGAATACTCATAATTCGCTATCTAAGATTCGTTTCTCATAATCAACAGAGTTGTAGATTCATGCGTCGCGATCATGAAGCGTGGACTCGCAAAGTGTGCCTCGAGTGATTGGGACTGCAAGTGTTCGGGCGCTGCAAATATTGCCAAGTGAGTAGCATCGGCCTCACTCTTGTATTGCCTCGATGAGATATCTGTACCTCTAATCTCGCATGACTGACATACTTGGACAGCTGTTATGTAGATTGCTCTGATGATGACCCGGACTCGTCTGCAGCCAAACAACTCAGCGTGAATGATTGCGCTACCGCGAACGCATATGACCAAGGAGAGACGACTGTCGCACCTTCATGGACTCTGCCCGGGTCTAATGCCGCACAGCCCACCGACACAGATGCCAGTGTAACCATTAGTGGCAGCTCTTCTACTACTGCCGGACCGACCAAAGCCTTTAATGGGAATGAGAAGTCAACAAGTCCATCAGAGGGAGCTGCAGTTGTGAACGATGCTGGTAGCTGGTTAGCTCTTGTCGTTTTAGGAATAGGGGCTGCATTTTGAGACTGGCGGCCCCAATAACCCATGAGCAAAAGAAAGAAAGGAGGTTACAAACATACTCAAGTAGTGAGCCCTCGCTTCAATCTCCAGCATAGATAACCATGAATACATCCCTTCCATTGAAAAGTAACTACACATTCATTGACACATCGAAGATTATACATATAAAGGTCGTCCACACAATCTAACTCGCCTTTTTCTTCTTCGTCCTATCGATCTTGGGAAGAGTGAGAAGATATCTTAAAAAGACATCTAACCAGAAAGTTAAAAATTCTACAACAATTCTACCAAAAAGACACTATTGAGACTACCAAAAATAGATAAAAAGACTTCACGAGGCCGCATAAGCGGCCAACTATTCTTGTGCATATGTAGCAACGAGCTAACGACACCCTAACATAGCACCCGAATCCCCCGGAAGTCATCCAATCATCAATTGTGATACACCTGCTTAGTAGCAATCTCCAACTTCTCGAGTTGGAACTGCTCTGCCCGACGACGAGAAACATCCCGCTGGAACCACATGCCAACAGCAGCAACCAGTCCCATTAACGCCTCCATTCCAATAAGCACACACAGCAACGCAAAGCCAGCGCGAGTATTGATGCAGTCACGATCGAAATGACGGGGTGTCTGAGTTTTGCTTGTCCCGGTTTTCCACTTGCAGGTCCAGCTGTGGAGGGTTTCGTTCTTGCTGAACCCTGCTGGGTAGTTCGAGGACGGTAGATAGATTATGAATAGGATGCCGACCAGGGTGGTTAAAAAGCCTGCGATGGCCGAAGCTGAGGCATAGTTGTTAAGTGACTTGATACGGGAATGTGGCTGGATAGGTGTCAGTAGATGTTATCAGGAGTAGTCACACAATGGGAGGGGTGTAAGACTCACAGATGGCAGAAGCGCAACGGCGATGTATACCAAGTTCAATATGGCGATTATACAGCCGCACGAAATGGCAGCGATCGTTGGACGGAGGTCAAAGTTCAAAGGCCACAGTGCGAGACCGGCACTCGCCCACTGGGAGGTGTTCCTATAATGTCGAAAGGGTGGGGCTTCGCACGCGACGACGGCAATAGCAACGCCAAAAATCAAGAAAGATAGACCAAGTCTTGCAAAATGAATAACACGATTGCGTTTCAAAAAGTTTGATTCCTCCATGTCTGAAGAATAAGCACCGCCTGATCCGGTGAGGGATGAGTTTGAGGTCATAATGAAGGAATGTCGTTGGGTCTTGTGAGATGGTAGAGAGGGGTCGAACGAGAGTGTGTAACTGTCAATGACCACCTTGCCGGCAAGGATATTCCTAGAAATGGATATCAAAGAATGAAGAACCCCTCAGGGGCAATGATAAAGAAGGGAAAAAAGCAAAGCCAAGTACTATATTCAAACGACTCTGTCTCAAATGATGATCAATGGATACCAGCTGGGATATGTATATTCATGGAAACATAGTCCTAAGATTGATCCCAGGGACTAGTTTAGCGAGCGCTATGCTATCACGGTAGTAAACCGAATGAGCGCGTATCCCGAAGACGACATTCAGCCCGTATGACTGCATAAAGCCATGCAGAGCGCCTTGATAGGAAACCAACTGCGCTGATTGGTCTTGGGCTCTGGGTTAAATTCACAGGACCGTCGAGAGTTTTAATCAGTGGCCTTGCAACTGGGACTTGTACATCCCCGGAGTATAATTGCCTGTGCGGGCGCTAGCATGCAGACTTGGCAGACGCATCGGGGAACAAGCACCAACAAAGCGTCTACTAGACCCAAAAATAAGAGTCTGTGCGGGATTTGAATCAAGTTTGTGGTTGAAGAATAGGTCTCATTCGTTCTTTTGGAAAATCTAATTTTCTCAAGGGTGGCCATCATGACCTATGATAGGCGATGGCGAAGCGCCGAGGATTGTGCCTGGGGGGCCACCAGCGGCAAGGATGATTCAGGAACACCACATCCCTGCCCTTGTTTATTCGAGGTACTCTCGTATTCCCTGAATAGATCTAGGCCTTGGTCATTGTATGTCAATGTTTCTCCCCGAGTACTACCCCAGACGTGCCACACCGTGCATGGTAAGTAGTCCGTGCGGAGAGAATGGCGCAGGTAAGTTTGGGATATTTCTATTTTCAAATCAACCTAGCTTCTTCTGGTCACACATCTTACCTCTGACTCTTCGTATGATTTTCATTTCCAAGAATTTACGGAGTAGAGAGTTTCAAGAATCTCAGAATGGAGAAGTACTGACTTGACTGGCTCTGGTTCTGAAACTGGGTACGGCAGGTTTTAGACGCCATCGCGCCAACCGACCAGGCAGCAAGTTTGGATGATACTAGTTTAAAGTGAAGATAGAGCTAGAGGTTTACCTAAACTTAGTATATACTTTCGAATTTCCTAAGCTTAGAGGCGCCTCTAAATAGTATAATTAGCGGTTTAAATACTATGGGTAGTTTATAGAAAGGTATATTTAGTATAGTCTCTTATATGAAGTATGAATTTTTTTACCGCCTTTATATATATAAAAAAAGCTATCTAGAAAGAGTGTTAAAAGAACATCTAAAAAGACATCATAAGGCCGCAAACACAGCCGACTATCTATACCAAACATTGCTGTACACAAGATAGATTTCTGTCAAATTATATCGGTTGGCGCAATGGCGTCTAAACCTGCCGTAACTGGGGTCGCCACCGCCATCGGCAGAACTTTTTCAGAAATGGCGGGGCAAAAGTGAAGATTGACCCTTTCTCTTTAAACATATCAGCATATCAGAGATATAACCGTTGCAATTGGAGCTTGAGTTTGATTGGTTTTGATTTTGAATTCATCATGCCTATCTCCAAGCTGCAGGGAGTAAAGCTCCCCGCCTCGGCCGACTTCCATGGTACTAAACGATTCTGGGGATTAATGGATGCAAGCTGATCAAAGATAGTCCATCTTCGTGAGGGTCCAATGATGGAGTTGGTGACTCCCACTATCCGACAGGGAGGTGTGAACACCGTTTTCGTTATGGTAAGGGAACTTCTTTATTGGGGAAGCAAATCCTGTATTTTGAGCTATATCTAATACACTCGATAGCCCAACCTTGTGCCACCTATCACGACTGTCGACCGTGCTCTGGACTACCAGAAGCGCCTTCAAGCCCTCGAGCCGAATGTCAACTTCCTTATGTCGCTGTACCTCCATGAGACCGTGACCCCGGAGACCATTATTGAAGCTAAGAAGCGCGGCATCGTTGGTGTCAAGAGTTACCCGGCCGGTGTGACGACCAACTCCTCTTCCGGCGTGGTTGACTACACACAGTTCTATCCTGTATTCGAGGAGATGGAGCGGCAAAATATGATTCTGAACTTGCACGGAGAAAGTCCCTCCGGAGGCGATGTGACGGTGTTGTCCGCGGAAGAGCGATTCCTTCCTAAGCTCTTTGAGCTGCACTCCAAGTTCCCCAAGCTGCGCATCATTTTAGAGCACTGTACCACTGCTGCGGCTGTGGAGGCTGTGAAGAAGTGCGGTCCCACGGTTTCTGGTACCATCACAGCTCATCACCTATCCATCATCATCGATTCGTGGGCCGGCGACCCATTCTGCTTCTGCAAGCCCGTTGCTAAGACCCCAGCCGACCGCGATGCCCTTCTCCGTGCTGCTGTCTCAGGAAACCCGAAGTTCTTCTTTGGCTCTGACAGCGCCCCGCACCCGGCGGCATCCAAGCGTGGTGGCGAGAAGATTGCTGCCGGCGTTTTCACCCAACCATACACTACCCAGGTTGTTATTGATGCCTTTGAGCAGGCCTGCGATAATGGTGTCCTCAAGGAGGATGAGATCACACCAGAGGTTGTCGAGGGTTTCATGAGCAAGTTCGGACGGGCCTTCTATGGCCTCCCAGAGGAGCAGAAGGAATTCATCACCATCGAGAGGAAGGGCGAGAAGATATCGGAGATCCTTCAGTCAGACACGATTGACGTGGTCCCCTTCAGAAAGACCCAAGAGACATGGAGCATCACTTGGTCTTAGTAACCCGACTAGTACATATTTAATAATAGAGTCGCAGAACAAAACATTTTTCACATGCACATCCTCTTACACAGACTTGTCTTGCGTAAGCATGTTTGCCACACTTTCAAGGGCGTGAGCCTCTCTGATGTCGATTCTGCGACCTGCGACCACTGGATTTCCATCGTCGCCCATAGCAAGCTGACCAGCTCGCTCGAGATGGAGTCGAATTCTGCTCTCGATATATTCCTTTCTCTCGTCTCTCTTGGACTTGGTTTCCATTGGCACCGTTGCACTGGGCAAGGCTGCCAATTTCGGCCGGAGCTGCTCAAGTGTCGTTTGCAACGCGGGCAACTGCGAGAGAATGAAAGTGGTGTTGGTTGTAAGAGGGGTGGGCTTAGCATTCGGCCCAGCATCGACACCAACACGAAGTTGGCGTGCAGCTGGAGTAGAGGTCAAGAAGGACAAATCGACAGGTTTGTTTTCGGCCGTCTTGGACACACCATCTGCCTTTGCTGTTTCAACTGTCGAGAGGATAGATTGTAGCTGCGAGATGACCACATCGTTTCGAGCGCATTCTTCTTTCAGAGACCGGGTCAGTTTCTTCGTCTCGAACAATTTCTTGCGTTGCGCATGTATAGTTTCTGGCGTCGGCGTGTCTGGCGAAGATCCGAATGAGAGACCCTAGAACAATGCGCATTAGTGTATCCCCTATTACAAAATATCACGCAAATTCAGATCCAGGAATCTGTGAATGACTCCTCATACCTCGTAATGCTTCAATCGCACCCAAGAGAGCAAGTCCCCGGGCACCGTGAGAATATTGCGCAGAACATAGATCTCGAATTTGTCGAAGGCCTTATCAACATTGGCCTCCAGCAATGTCTCCAGCTGATGCAGTCCATTCTCGATCTCTAGCTTCGCCTCAGGATAAACCACATTGCCGTCCTCGTCTGTTTCCGCGATGCTGGGACCACTGCTGTCATGGGAGAAACCGAGCCGTTCAGGTGGCGTATTGAGGAGTCCGGATTCTAGGCTAGAGATCGCTTGGTAAATCAAGTTGTTGATCGAGTTGATAATGTCATCTATGAGAGACTAGGGAGCTGTCAGCGATATTCCTAGTTGCAAGGGGTGGGTCCTGAGTCGCAGCTCGCAGGTTGCGCGTGCAGCACGAGTCAATCCGTATCGGTCTCGATCGACGTACCAAGGGTGTGTAACTGAAGTGCTCAGTGAGCAAGGAAGTCGTCGCATCATCCATCGCGACAAGATTGCTCTTCTCTAGCCCGGCTTGACGCGTTGAAGAAACAAAACACGCGCGGGGGGAAAATCCACTAGCCACCGCCTTCCGTCGACTATCACCTATAATATTCTTGTGACATCCAGCTTTCGTTTAGATCATACTGAATGATTTGTCTTCCCTCTCCTTGACTTTTATTTTCTCATCTCCAATGCATCCTGCGGTCGCTACGTTGCACATCATTTGATGTCAGACTGACACACGAGTCCCATCCCGACCTCTCAACCCAGTCACCAGGTACCCGGCAGCGTTGATATCCAGCTGAAGCAAGACCCTTGTACTTTGGCTGCCAGCATGTTTTGTACAATGTGGCAGATGACCACCCCCTGGCGAATGTTCTGATTTAAACGACCGGACTGTCGGGCCATTGGAAGGTTGTCATTTAGTCCAATTAAGACACCGACTTTGCCCCCATGTGTCTCCTACCTGTAGATAGAATAAATTTATATGTGTACTCTGCTTGACATCCTTGGGAAATCTTCGTATATAGCAGTGCAGCCTTTAGAATTTACTGAAAAGGCGTAGAGACAATCCAAACATTCAGTCTTGTCTATCTCGGTAAGAACCCATCCAGACAAAATACCAAAGGGAATGCTTCTCACATCTCCAGCGCACGATGTCCCAAGGGAGCCCCCTCCGAGTCCTAGTCATCGTCTCGCACCGGAGTTCTCAGATATCCAAAGCCCAAAACAACCCAGAGGCCCTCCTGCCAAAAGCCATCCGCCTCCTCAAAGCAAGCCACCTGTATAGCCCACAAGAAGTTCACCCAGCAACAAAGCTGGTAGCAGCTCAGAAGTGGCGAACGCGGGTGTTCTTCGTTTTCGACATCTGCCACACAGCATACGACGCCAAGCTCGGCCATCTGCCCGAGCAGAACAAGCTCCCCGTCGCTGTTGTTCATCTCAGCAAAAGGAACACGGCCTATGTGGCGAATGCGTGGTTGTCGAAGAGGGTGAACAGAGATATTGCACTGTTTCATAATGCCAATGGATTCGGGGCTGTGCCGCCTTTTGTAGAGGATCATACCGTGGGAAAGCCACCTGAGTATATGAACCCGAGGGATATTTCACTCTTGCAGGCCTCATGTGTTTGAGAATGTTTGATAAAAGTGTTGCACACGTTTTGCTGATGCTGCGGTATCTTGAACAATAAACAATAAGCCCTATTACGTGATGGATTTGAATCAACGCTAAGGCCATTCGCAGGAGAGACGCAGGAACTAGAAATCCATCGTGAGCTGTGGGGCCATTTTTTCAAGATCTTCAACCTATATTACTGATCAGAATACCCAAAATAGCCAATTGGAGGATACAAGAATGAAGACTTACCTCGAGGAACCCATCCCCAAGACTTCTGCCCCCAGTATTTCCATCCGACTCAGCCCTCTCATAAGCAGCTCGGGCGATGGCTTCCCTCACAAAGACATCAACATACTTGGCGACAGCGTTATTGGCATCTTTCACGACCTTGGTCTTTTCATTCTGGAAATGCTGGTGCAGTAGGCGTGTGAGCAGTTTTGAAGGTATTTTGGGATCGCTGGACGTCACATCCTCTGGTTGGTTTGTAGTTGTAATTTCGGCAAGGATATAGTTCGGCTCTTGAGAGAGAGAGCGCGAGCGACTGCGGCTCGATCCGATGGAGTCGGAATCTATTTCGGATTCGGAGGCGGCATTGGCATTGACTGCCGGAGAGTCGGGTCGGGGGCGTTTCCCAATACTTGTAGATTTGCTTTGGCCCGTGGATTTGCTCTGGGTTGCAGACTTGCTTTGAGTCGTGGGTTTGCTCTTTGTTGTTTTGGGCACAATTGTGGACGCGGAGGCTTTTGTGCTGGTTTGTTTCGCTTTTCCTTTGGCCTTCGGCGCCGAGCTGGATGGTCCCGCGCTAGTCGTGCGACTGGGAGGTTTGAAGGGGAGACGTGGGCGCTTTTGAGCTGGTTGAGGTTCGCCGGGCATTTTTATTTCCTAGATAAACGTGGAAGGTGTGCGATGGGTTTGATATGGTAGGAATTGCAAGGAGGAATGGTGGGAGTGATACTTGGAGATATCGGGGAAATCGGGGGATCCCAACGCGGGCGCGATCTACATACAGTACGCGCTGTCAGGTGATGAGGGGAGGCCCTACTTTTCTAGTTGCAACAGCCTTGGTTCTACTTTTCTCTTCTTTGGTCTTTTTTTTGGTCTTTTCTTGTATCAAATTTACGTACATGCCTTCCATGGTCACTGGCCTCGATTATCATCATAAAATCAAAGTGATGTGATGCTCTAAACCCTCGCTCCTCCTCAACACACCAGGTAGAAACCCACGATCCGAAACCCTTACTGACAGGGAGGAAGTAGATGACTTGATTCTCTCAGTCCTTCTCAATCTCGTCTGGATGTGCCATGCGAACGGGGCGGGCACGGCGGTTGCTGGCCTCAAAGGGGTAGTACACATTGACATGGAGACCGACTGTGTTGATCAATTTAGTAATGCGTTCCCAGGGAACATTGAACAGGCCAGTGCAGAAGCGACTGGAGTAGAGGCTCTGTGGTCGCTCGTTGCTGGTCTCTGAAGCCTGCTGGGAAAGAAGTTGTAGCTGTCTACTCAGGTCTTGTAAGGCAGCAAAGGTGCTATTGACAATCATATCCTCCGAATCGACGCGGATACCATATTTCTCCGAGGTAAAGAGACAGATTATCCAATGGCGCCGGCGGTGTAAGATGAAGTCGCTCTGCTGGGGTGGGATAAGGAGAGCGGTGCCGAGAGGACGGTAAACAACGAGAGAGGGCTGCAGGTCCTCATCGCGTAGGTCGGTGATCATCTTGGTTACTGGGTGGTCACGGTATATGAGGCAGTGATTGCGGTAGATCTCGTAGGCGGCAGGGTACTATAAAACAGCGTCTTATTAGCTCTATGCTTTTGTGTCAGGTGAACGGTCTAATGATTGACTAACCCGCTCACGAAATGCACGGGCAATGCCTGCACCCCAGACACCCTGGCAGTTGCACGCATCTACATTGTTGACTAAGTTAGTGAAGACTCTAAATAGAATAAAGAGTCGCTAAGTGAGGGGTTCTCACGGATCAGAGCAGCACCATTGGGGGCGTCGAACAGATCACCCGGGGTCTCCTGGACAAAGCTGACAACAGCAGGCAGAGACGATGTCATCAAGATCAACGACTCATCGCTATCAGTGCGGCCAATCGCGGCAACCTGATCCTCACCTGCGTCAGACATGGTATTGTGTTGTGGGCAGAAGAAAGCAAACGAAGAAACTGGAATTTTCTCATGCTCCCTCTGAAGGGCTGAGGGAAGTGAGAACAGTATCAGAGGAAAGGTTGCAAGAGAGTATGACAGAGCAAGAGTTGGGTATTTTATCGTCTAAAATATCACAGTTTCTCGTGAAGCTCACAAAGCTACACATCTCTAACAATTCCAAAAAAGAAAAATACATGCTACATTACCAAGCGGCCGTTTCACTGGATTTTGTGCTAAAAGGAAGAATCGATGCACTATGGCCAATGGTGCATGGTATAATCATATAGAATGAACGGTTTGACACAGCGAAGCTACCCCAATGCGATCAAATACATAACCCCATTGCACTTTGTGATTCTCAAACAGAAGTCAATCCTTCTTTCCCTTTGTGGCTGTGAATGGCTTCTTCGTGGTAAGCTCGCCCAGTTCACCCAAACGACGGTTAACAAAACTCTTTAGGCTCTCCCTTTTCTTTAAGCTCCGTTCGCTTTTCTCGTCCTTGGAAGAGACCTGCTGAATTGGTTCCCCCTTTGGGGACTCTATCGGCTTTTTTTCATCTGCTTGGTGTGGCTTCGGCGGAGAGGGCTGGCCTGAAGCAAAGGCGACGGGCGAAGTTGAAGTAGGGGTTGCGACATCAGGACTCATGACTGAAGTGAGGGAAATTGGGGCACTGTTTCCGCTACTCGATTTCATGCGACGACTCATGGATCGCGAGATAGACTTGAGGATCGAGGGGCTATTGCTAGAATCAATTCGTTCGAGGCGGTCTATCTCACTCCTGGCGGTCGTCCCATTGGTTGCAAGATTGTCTTCGTTCACAGACGTGAAGATCACCACACCTTTGTCGGGCGCGATGCCAAACATTTCTTTGATGGTTGATTGGATGAGGCCCGTGTTGCGGAGGTTGGTGAGCGGTCCAATCAAACTCGATAGAGCCGTGATCTTCAACAGGTACGCCGAGCCGGAGGTATTTCCGAAAAGTAGGTCAGCATTCTGGTCTATGGTGACTAGCATTGATGTTTCCGGACGCTGGTAGACTTGGGCAAGGGAGTGGGCGAAATCCGACAATAACTTGGATGCATCATCCTTTGACTAGTTGATGGGTTAGCAGAGAGGGATCACCAAGCAGATGTCAGCACGTCACAAACTTTGGTGTTGGTCTTGAGCTCGACGACAACGACCGATTCATGAGTTACTCGGTCCTTGGGGGAGTTGTGCGATCCACGGGCTGTAAAGGCGTCTTCGTAGTACAACTTCTTCACTTTTGTTAACGGCGAATCGTCCACATTTTTCTGGGAAAGATAGATGGGCATGCTCTCTGGCGCAAAACGTGTGACGGGTATGATATTTTCCTCATCGTGCTTGTCCTCCTTGAACAGTGATGAAGTTCTCGCCGGCCTCTCGGGCATGATGATCGGGGGTGCGTTGGCATCGAGGGTTTTTGGTAAAGTATTACATGATGCATTTGAAGGTTTCTGTAGGAGGGGAATATTAGTTGTCAAGCGAGGTAAAGACGGTTTCTTCTTGGAGTGGTCCATTTTATGGGACAATGGGACAATGGGACAATTGGCTTTTTTGTATGAGGTGATGAAAGTTGAAATGTTATAAGATGAGACGAGGGATGACCCGTGGACCTTCCCTGGTTATGAAAGGACGATCCTGCGTAGACCAAAAAAAGTAAACAAAAGAAATTATGGAAGGTGCAAAAGGTGGAAGGTGCAAAGGTGGAAGGTGCAAAGGTGAAAGGTGTAAAAGGAAGGTGCAAAGGTAGAAGGTGCAACTTCAAGCAAGAAAGGCCAATTCGCTGAACGCCGAGTTTCCACTCAAAAAGATTTTGTCAATACGTCTCCTTCGGTCCCAAACAATTTCCCCGTTGGTGTGTCTGATATACAACACCCGATGCTGTGGAATGAATTCCTCATCAGTGGTCTCCTTCTTCCAACTACCCATGATGATTTCTAGTTGTCCTTCAAATCGGTCCACGAATCCAATAACATAGTTGCTGCGTTCAAACGCCGAATCCCAAGTAATGCGATTGATGATGTCTAGAAGCTGTCAGATTGTCAAACGTGACGATATATACATCTTTCAAACTACCTACCTCCAGCCGGGCGTAGTCTGTTTTCGCCAGCCTTGGGGTCATATTCAGGCGAAACACTTCGCTGATCCCGCTTTTGAGGCGACTTTTTAGGCGAGCTTGTTGACCCTGATGGGACTGGGGATGCCTCTTGTCCCGTAGTCATATTGGCATCTGTTTCGCTCGGGTTATTCGAAGCCATGGTTTTCAATGATTCAAGAATCCCAGGATCTTCAAGTTGATTTTCAGTACCTAACCTGGAAACCGGAGCGACTTATATATGTCACCATAAATAATGGTATAGGCCGGACACATTTTCTGGTCCATCTCGGTTTCGCTTTTACGAGGCTCGGCATTGTGCGGCTGGAGATGTGACATTAGAATGATTCATTTATAGTCATAAACGGAGTGGTAGTATATGACTTCTAGTGATAGGCCAAAGTAGCCCTGCCCAGGTGGAGGGATACCAATGACTCAGAATGCGATTGTGGCTTGACCTTGATCTGACTCATGGTCCCACTAGGGGCCATCAATGACATTCTCATTACTCCGTACTTGGAAAAAGTCAAAAATATACAGATGTGGGATATAAATTTAGAATTATTGAGATAATTAAAAAAGAAATTGCAACAAAAAGATAACTCCGATAGGGGGAATCGAACCCCCGGCTGCCGTGTGAGAGACGGCGATGTTAGCCACTACACCATATCGGATAATTGGATGATAGGATTAGCATAATATGGCTACACAAACCAAATCAACAGTGTAAATCTGGTTCCTGCCTCTATCCATCCATATTTTCCTATGACGCATTTCCAAATTTATACATAGAAAAGTCCATTTCACAAATTTAAGCCTTTCTCCGCCCTTTTCTGCCCTCTATCTATACAACTGAGATGAGCAGCAAAATATACCCAAAACAAAAACATTTAAAAAGACGTTCAAAAAGACAACCAAAAAGATTAACTAAAAAGATATCACAAGGCCGCAAACGCTTCTTGTTCACTAATAATCTGAATCACCGAGCTCCGCCACCTCCATTATCCCTAGCACTAATATTATATAGTAATGAGAGACGGATACTGGAGATTACTATGAAGTAATAGATAGCTCTGGAAATCTGTAATTGAGTTGAAGAAGAGAAGAAACTATCTACAGTTACTAGACTAAAATACCAGAAGAGATTTGGGAAGTTATATGACTTGAAACACACCCTACGACTAGTATGTAGTCGTATCTGTATAGTAATAGGCCCTCGTCTTCATAAAAAAACAGTTGATAATATCAAATAAATCCCCCATTTTTATATATAGATCCAAATTCAAGCTATTGGCGTATTTTTGTAGACCGAAAGGCCGACCTACGCAATCTATCTCTTGAATATTATCTTCCTTGGGGGCTTAGTAAAACTATTAGTATCTAGTACTATCCAATAGAAATCATGCTATTCTTACACAATCTCAGACCCACTTGCCCGTCGATCTCCGCCACCTGTTGAAGCTCGGGCATTTATTTAGATCAACATCCCTAGAGCTATTCTGAACTTACCTCATTAGTACTTTTTCACACGTTCTAACAGCCATTATACCACCATCATCATGCCTCAGCTTGGCAGCGTCACTCGATCACCTGTGAGTCTTCTACATGTCACCAATCCAAGCCACGCCGCTTATGTTTCCTTAGCCTCCAACACCTCCCAAATCCACATTGCCCGCTCGTTCGCGTGCCATGTCTACCGCTGTTCCTCCCGTAGAACCAGTAAGAATCACAAGTATAATTGCCCCAACGGCAAACCAATCAACTATGTTGTATGTAAAATATAATAATTAGTAGGCTGACAGCTTAGAACGTGATGCAGCTCTTTGTCCGCCTATATACAGGGGCCATAAATCCCAGTTTGTCAACCAACTGCACGACTGTGAGTTTTTTTAAAAATCCTACTAGCTCAAGTCGAGTCACTTACAAGTATCATTTTGGGAAGTTCATCGTTCCCCCAGGCTGGACGACATGCCCCGGGAGCCCCAATTTTGAATACGAGTGGGATGGTGTCGATTCAGCGGGTCAAAAGATTTCTCAAGGCTATGGTCTTGCTCTGGGTCGACCAATATTAGAGGATGACGATGCCTCCACAATGATTTTCCAATCCAGCGATAAACTCTACATCTGGGATGTGCTTTATCATGACGTGTATGAAATAGCATCTCGGGACATCAATGAAGTCGCCCGTGTTCTGTCTCAGGAAGAATGTTACAAGAAGCTACAGAAACGCCTTCTTGATCCAGTTGAAGATATTGCTGTCTGAGCATGATAGTTGTGCCGGTTTAAGGAGTGGAAGAGGTCACATGGCCACACGAGCGCATCGCTTTGCTTTGAGCGGAGTTTTGTTTTTCTTTGCTTTGGTTCTTGTTTCTTTAGCTTTAGATCTCGGAATGTAATTACCTTGTGTCTTTTTCGCAAGCCTGGACCGTCTATTGTTCCCGCTCCAAAGTCGATGAGCTCTTTTCCGCTGGGGGTTGTAGCCCCCTTAAACGTTACCTACCTACCATGTACGTAACTCTCGAGGTCCCCCAGAACAACATTTGACGATCCAGTGTGACTAACCGGGGACTAGCCGTATTCAGAATAGTAGACGGTGTAACCATGGTCCTAAGAATAAGGGGGACAAAAGTATGAGGTTCAATGTGTTTGAATTCAGTAAGAACCGATTATCATATCATGAGTATAGAAAAGAACTACATACATGCATATGCATATATAGATAGGGGCTTAGAAGAAGATCCTGTTACCTTCTAAAGGGAGGTTGTGGAAGGCGCGGAACCCGAATGCGTCTTATCCCGGATCGTATCATTATCGGACCCCCGTTTGTCCTATAGGCACCAGTGAAGGTTCTATATTTTAAAATTCAGATTCAAAGTCCCTGAAATTACATTTCCACTCTCCAACACTCCTCTCATTTGTGAAAATCCCTCATAACCCCTCCCCAATCTTACTACCCCGTGAGAGTAGTGCTGTGGCTTATGATTCCTTCAGGCTTGGTAGCTCCCATCGGTCCCCTTTGGTATGGGCGATCTTGTTTGCTACAGACAAATTTATCCCCTGTAGTCCAGCTAATTAGACTAGGAGTGTTTAGGTTCGCCATGATGGGCATTTCCTAGCTAGCCCAATTCTATCTGGAGGATTCATTCTCGATACATTCTGCTTCCGCTCTGGCTGCGGTGGACATTCTAAGAAGTCTAGTCTGAGGCCTGGTTCCCCTCGCGGGTCATGGGATATACGATGCTCTGGGGATGCGATGGCGAAATAGCCTCCTAGCGTTTATTGTATTGGCATTCGCTCCTGTGCCCTTTTGCTCTAAGAGATATAGCGCATGAATTAGGAAGAATCGGAAGATTAAGCGATTTCAATGTTGGGAATATATGGTCCTTTAAAGTGGTACATAGTTGACGGGAATCAAGATACACTTGTGCATCCGAGGGCGACTGCTTACATACTCTATCCCTCTCCCTCTCCCTTCGTTTCTTTGTTTCTCTCATCCACATAATGGTAAAGCCATCTCGGAAATTGAATATCAAGATAGCCTCAGGAAAGGATATTTATCCTCTATCACAACTATAAGCTTTTGACAGCACTGTTATACTCTCCGGCCGATGTTTAAGCGCCACTTCTCCCCGGCGCAATTTGAAGACAACCTGTCAAGCAGCCGGATAGAAAGAATAGACCAGCCGCAACCATATAGGGTAGTCCTACCCAAATTCCATCCTCCTGCAGGCCCTGCCGGAATGCGGCAGCTAGAATGGGCCCTGAGACCATAGAACCGATACTTTGGGCGAACCCAATCGCCGTATTTACAATACCCACTTGCGACGGCGATACCATTTCCATGGCTAGACTTCGCAGGGCCGAGTAGAAACCCCATCCGAGTGCGAGAAAGCTGACACCGACTATGAATACGGCCGGATGGGTGGAAATGGCCATGATGGCCGAACCCAGAGTTAAAATCCACACACTGCCTTGGACGATACGGAGGTCCTTGGCGGCAGGCGAAAGAAGTAAATGTTCATTTAGCCAGTTGGAAAGCCAAGGGAGAATGATCAATAAAGTGACGAGATTTATAATGCCCTTCAGCGTGATGAGTGAACTGGCGCGGGCAATGCTCCAAGAAAAGCGGGTTGAGGCATATTGAACAATAAGCTGTAGCGCTTGGCGACCGATACTTGCAAGTAAAAATGCACCGACAGTGTAGAAAAGGTTGACGCTCCAGGATGCCATGTAATTGTTTCGAAGGTGATTCCACTGCCGGAGTATGGCACTTTTCCAACGTGGGTCGTGCACCAAGGTGGAATTTTGTCCCTCGCCCTCTCCCTCTTCCTCCTCCAGATCCTGTTGGTTGTTGCCTCGCGATGATTTGAAAGGTATATCAGAGATAAAAGCGGTTCCGAGCAACCCCAAGGACATAAAGAACAGACCCAACAGCGAAGGGATCCATGGGCTCCACGACATTAGGAAAGCAGCAACTGGAGTACCAATAATTTCGCCTAGTAAAGTCGCAGCAGACAGGACGAAGAACACAGATGCCCTATATACAGATCATCTTTGTTAGTCAACTTACAATTAACACGATGAAGGTATTGTTACTACCTTTGATGGCTTGGTACCATATCGGTCACTATAGCATAGGCCATAGCGGTCGCTATTTGCGGTCCGCCGCCGATGATTTGAAAAGCGGGCGCCATCCAAATTAACCGCAGCGGCAAGACGGCGTTGAAAAAAAAGATTAATCGGGTGGCGATTTCTTCGAGAATCAGTCCAGTCAAGCTGAGTGCCAGAATAGGCTTACGCCCTATTCTATCCGCAGCAAACCCATAAGGAAGCGCAAGGAAGATTCCTGGTAGCTGGTCAAATGTGTCTTTCCATCCATTTATCAGGGCTAATTCTCCTTGGACTTGAGGCGACTTGCAGTTGTCATCTACCCCAAACAAGTCGCTGCCTCGAGCCTGGCGACAGATAATCGATTCAAGGATTTCGATATGAGGGGCATAGCCAAGATAGTTGCCGAAGTCAGCAGCCACAACAGAAAGGCACACAAGGAGCAAGAGACGACGATGGGGAAAAGATGTAGCCTTGGGATGGTCGTCATAACCAGAATCATGCCCCCCTAATAGGGGCGCCCGCTCGTTGGGCTCTTCCGGTGGGGAAGCCGTCAGTGTAGATGGATTTCGCGTCGGCATAGCAGGCAGCAGCGGGTGGCTTATGGAGTTGAGACGTTCAGACACAAAACCAGCCATTATTATAGTTACAACATATATATCGGGTTATCAGGATTCTCCGTCGGAGACCCGTCTCCCGGAGTTCGGACTTCGGGGTGCATAGGGGGGAGGCTGAAGTTCCAAAGGCTTCGACAGGTGTTCAGCCCCCAAGATTCATCAGACCTCCCCCTTTTTTTTGTAATTTTCAACTTCGCGTAATTCCCATATGTGAACTCAGAACCATATATCGGTCTCTCTAGTTTGCTCAATCCATCCCCCTCATTACGTCGAGTCTGCTCAATTAACTCCTTCAACCTCCGGGTTGCTGGAACCAAATAAGCTCCCACGCCTACGCACGTTGATTCTTACCGGTGAGAAAATATACCGCGCCGTACTTGACCCGTGGCTGCAAACTAAAGGATGATTGCATGTTCTCAATGTATATAGACCATCGTGCAGCGAACTATAAATTGTCTGGGTCGAAGATACGGAGAGCATTGGGTTCGGTCTGGGCGCCACCCTCTGGATCGCTGATCTGCATGATATCAAGCGCCTGGCGCCAGTCGGGTCAGTGGGTGAGCCACTCATCGATGGGCCGATTATCTGGTGAAAATTCCCAGTGGCTATTTGCCGGGGATGGCATTCGCATCAACCCTCTACGATGTTTTGTACTCGCGACTTAAAATACAGCCCTTATGGGTCAATTTTCTTCGTTGGACCCGCCAGCACACAAAATAGATCAATGTACAGCGCGCCAAAAGTGGCGAACTTAAATGTCATATCGGCCAGCTCTTATGCGACGGAATTCCTTTAATCGTGGATGAGTTACAGTGCTCCTCCGCGACAAGAAGCAGCTCATGACGTTCATATATTTGACCAAGAGGTGGTGGAGTCACCTTTTGACATCAAGGATTGGGTAGGCGATCTGATTGCGGGACTGAATAAGAAAAGTTTCGACAGGCAGCCTCGATTCATGACACTATCCGCACTCTTCCCACTCCGATCTGTCCCCCCGACAGCCTCGGGAAGAGCAGATCGCAACACGCTCCAAAATGTAGCACTTACTCGCCTCACTGGATCAATCATTGGACCTTTGCTTCATTGAGACACTTGGGAAGGCATCAATGGATGATGCAATTATACCGTTGACCGCGGATAAGCTGATTCTGCGGCGGTTCTAGACATATGTTGATCAATCCCGACGACACGGGAATCTCACTTCAATCCCACGACAATTTTATTGTTGGGGGAGGAACCTCACCGGTATGTCACTCATGGCCAACGGAAGCGATTGTATCGGACGTATGATTTGGTGAATTAAAAAAGAGACCATAGCAGATTAATATTTGCGGACCGAGTAGATATGCAAGTAAAGGTCTTTGGATAGCATGTGGTATTGGACGACATTGCATTCCATGTAACCAATTCCTTGGCCTGTCATTCATGGCAGTGGCCAAATTCAACTCAGTCGACACTGCCTAAGGCCCCGGGTATGGCTCCCAGAGGTTGACGATATTTTTGTCGTCTCACAACCGGAATGAGCATGCGGATGCTGACCTACAGCACAAGCAAAGTTCGAAGAGATTGAACAGGCTGAGCCAGTTGAGGGCCATGTACCAATTGTGAGAGAGCATTGGGGGACCTGTGGTCGAACCTTCAGGAATTTTGACAGACAACATGGGCTCTCAGGAGAACATCATTGATCTCTGAGGCAATAGGGGCTGCTCAGCGGCAGAAGTTTCCCTTGTCGGTGGTTCTCATCTTTAAAGACTGGCAGCTTGATCAGATGGCGGCCCACTTGTCAAATCCCTTCTAGGGATGACAGTGCGCAGCATTCTGAGCCTCGCAAGACTGAGCACCGCCTCGTTTGATGGAGTTCCCCAGACATGTTCGCCCTACGAAACTTCGAGTTACAAGCCTTAATATAACCCCAAGGATATGTATGATCTGAAATATTCTTCCAGCCATGGACTTTCAGAGATGTGCCATCCGATCTGCTTTCATGCAGCCTTGCACTAAATAGAACTATTTCTCTATCATATCTAGTAGCCATACTAGCACTTCAAATCTGACAAACCTTTCATCAGCTTGTATCGTCACTCGAGATACTGCGATGTGTTTTCTTATCTCATCACTTTGATGGTCATTACATTCAGGTTTCTTTTTATGCGTCTTTGAAGCAAAGATCATGCCCATCCGTGATGCTGATGAACCATTGGATGAAGCACACTCGAGAGTCTATCTGGATGTACTAGAAGAGAAACTTATCCCCGGCTCCACCTCCGTCAAGTTCTTCATCTTCCAGTTTCAAACAGCCCAGTATGTGTCAATCAATGATTTGAATTTCCCATGCTCTCTCTATGATGGAACTACTCTGCCACCAATGGCTGAACAAACACATTGAGACCATTGGACAGTCTGAAATCGCGAGGCAGTGCACTGATTGACCACAATTTATCTATCTCGGCCTTTGGCTCTGTGTTCTACTTCCAAGATGTTGAAAAACAAACAACTGATTAAATTTGTTAAAAGAGTTACAGGCAAGTGAAAGATATCCCATTTAACCCCCCACCTCACACTTGGAAAAATTTCCGTCACATTTGGATAGTTGGTTGCTTATGATCAGTATACCGTCGGGTTTCAGGTGGAATTAGAAGCGTTAGTTCAAACGACCCGGTCGGGGCAATAGCAGCGCGTGAGCCTTCTAGCACATTTTTATCTGAAACAACAGTGTATCCCAAGGTGTCCCTTGCGTCGAGTCGCGATTTAGGCCGACGATTTGTGGCCGGCCCAGGCTAGATCGTTCATGCACGCTCTGGGAGACAAGGGTGAACGCTAACTATAGCTTCAGCGTGTTACCGTGACGATTACCATGAAAGCTTGAGCACAGAGGTTGCCCCATTTTTCTGGGGTCATACCTAGTTATATTGGTACAGTACAAACATAGTAAAACGTTGAATCTTTCCCGGTCCATAAGTCATGTGACCATTACTTCCCCAAAATTCAGCCTCTACAATAATCTCAGTCCAAAATAAAGACCGCTTATTCTCGGCCGATTAAAAGAATGAATGAAAGGGGTATCCTTGAAGCTTGGAAGCTTGTACGGGGTACAATATACCATATCTTACCCCCCCAAAACCCCACTAGGAGTGTCACCGGGGAGATATTAGCCCGCGTACGGAGAGAGATATCACGATGATCACATCCGAGGCCCACTTGCCCCTCTTTTCGCCCTTCCGAAATAAAGGGTGTTTGGCCTTTTTGGCATGAAAGGGATAAAATATGCGCAGGATGGTACTTAAGATAAACTCATAGCTATAAAGGAAGGCTTGTACCAGCTCGGAAGTTCTGCCGGGAGTAAAGTGTGTGAAAGGTCATCTTACCTAGGTGCCTCGGCCTTAACCCGAGAGGGGCACATTTAGTACACGTCCATGCTTGTACGCCAAGCCCGCTCAGATGGAGCTCGTAATAAATGTTGTAGAAGATCTTGTATTATCAAAAATTCCAAGGGGAAAAAAACAAGAGAAAGGGGACAAAATTGAGATTATAGCTATTTGATTAGATATTACATAGGTTATGTACATATGTAATTCTTGCAAGTGGTTCAATACAAGCAGTCACAGTCAAATTCAAACCTTGGGAACTCCGTCAAAATGAAAGGATCGCCAGAAAGCAACCTTGGAAATAATTTGGCTTAGCTAAACAGGTAAGGTGTCTTGGCATTTTAGAGTTTACAAAAAAGAAAAGTGTGGAGTTGAACGGGGGTTGGTTGTAATTTTTGTATGCATGATGTGTGTAATGTGTGTAATGTATGTAATTACCATTACCCATAACGAAAAAAGTGGCGTTGACCCCGCATCAAGAAAGTCAACGAAAAACCAAAGAGCTAATTTGTCAAGTATAAGTTACAAGTATATAAAACCTTGGAGATCCCCTCCGCTTTCTCTTTCTTGCATCTATTTGTGATACCCTTTCTGTGCAACCATGTCGCTCTCCACTACCATTAAGACTCCCAATGTTACTTATGAACAGCCCCTCGGCTTGTACGCTATACCCCTTCCTCACATTAATGACCCTCATTGCTAATTTGGTTCCTGGTTTCAGGTTTATCAATAACGAATTCGTCAAGGGTGTTGACGGCAAGACATTCGAGACCTTGAACCCCACCACTGAAAAGCCCATCACCTCCGTTTACGAGGCCTCCGAGAAGGATGTCGACATCGCTGTCAAGGCCGCCCGCGAGGCCTTCGAGGGTGCCTGGAAGAAGGTGACCCCCTCAGACCGTGGCCGTATGCTTACCAAGCTGGCCGATCTCTTCGAACGTGATATGGAGACCCTAGCTTCAATTGAGGCCCTCGATAACGGTAAGGCTGTTACCATGGCCAAGGTCGATATTGCCAATGCTGCTGGCTGCCTGCGCTACTACGGTGGCTGGGCCGATAAGATCACTGGTCAGACCATTGACACCAATTCCGAGACCCTCTCTTATACCCGCCATGAGCCCGTTGGTGTCTGTGGTCAGATCATCCCTTGGAACTTCCCTATCCTTATGTGGGCCTGGAAGATTGGTCCCGCGATCGCTGCTGGTAACACTGTGATCATTAAGACCGCTGAGCAGACCCCTCTGTCTGGTCTATATGCCTCCAAGCTCATTGTTGAGGCTGGCTTCCCCCCCGGTGTTATCAACGTCATCTCCGGCTTCGGTCGTGTTGCTGGTGCCGCCATCTCTAGCCACATGGACATTGATAAGGTCGCCTTCACTGGTTCCACCCTTGTCGGCCGTATGATCCTACAGGCCGCCGCCAAGTCTAACCTGAAGAAGGTCACTCTCGAGCTGGGTGGCAAGTCCCCTAACATCGTCTTCGAGGATGCCGATATTGACAATGCCATCTCATGGGCTAACTTTGGTATATTCTTCAACCACGGCCAGTGCTGCTGCGCCGGTTCTCGCCTGCTGGTCCAGGAGAGTATCCACGACAAGTTCGTCGCTCGCTTCAAGGAGCGTGCCGCCCAGAACAAGCTTGGCAACCCCTTCGAGGGTGACACCTTCCAGGGCCCCCAGGTTTCCCAGCTCCAGTTCGACCGCATCATGGAGTACATCAACCACGGCAAGAACGAGGGTGCCACTGTCGCCCTGGGTGGCGAGCGCCACGGTACTGAGGGCTACTTCATCCAACCTACTGTTTTCACCGACGTCACTCCCGAAATGAAGATCGCCCAGGAGGAGATCTTCGGCCCCGTTATCGCTGTCACCAAGTTCAAGGATGAGGCTGATGCCATCCGCATTGGCAACAGCACCAACTACGGTATGTGTTGTTTACATTCATCGGAAACCCCTGGATTATCATTCTAACTGTATTCAGGTCTCGCTGCTGCCGTTCACACCAAGAACATCAACACTGCCATCCGTGTTTCTAACGCTCTCAAGGCTGGGTATGTTTTACCTCAATCAATTACTGCTGTAAAAAAGCTAACACTTGCTGTAGTACCGTGTGGATCAACAACTACAACATGATCTCTTACCAGGCTCCCTTCGGTGGCTTCAAGGAGTCCGGCATTGGCCGTGAGCTTGGTTCATATGCTCTTGAGAACTACACCCAAGTCAAGACTGTGCACTACCGCCTGGGCGATGCTCTGTTCTAAAATATTAATTAAAAAAATGAAAGCAGTTGGGTGTTTACATCCAATGAAATGATGATACATGATTGGAAATTTTCGTTTTGTATATAATCCAAATTGAAGAACTATCAACTACATAGTACTTACTGTATTCCGTACCTTCTAGCACTTACACATTTACCGGTGTTCCCATATTTCTATACATGCGACAGATTCTATGGTATGTAGCTTGGCTAGTCTACATAATGATCCAACTTGAATCCATTGTTCCATCATCGTCCTGGTAAGATTTTGCTCCTGTTCCACCGTAGGCCGTCATCGTGGGGCATTGCATGCCGCTCGGTACATCTACACCCGAGAAGCTCGGTGATTGCAACAATCGAGTCCGGGCTAAGCCCGGCAGAATTCTGGGCGAGATCCTACAATGTGTATTGTTATTATTCTAGAACGCTGTATACGAGTGGGGCGTGCAAATCCAGCGACTTTGGTATGTACTATGTATTCATGTATTCATAGTTTCATGACCATCTACAGCATACATATCTACATATGTAGACTAGCGCAATGTACAGACATCTCGATCAACACAAGTTAAACTAACTGATAAAACATGCCTAATGACTAGTTCCTTGTTGCAAAAAAACTTCGTTACTTCATGCGCCAACTCCGCCGATCGTGATCCCGTTCGGCAGCTCAAGTCCGATGGGAAGTCCGCAAAGGAACTTCTCGGTATAGGTTGTCCCGCGCTTTGCGGCGAGCTTCTCTTCGATGTCTTTATGCATGTCATAACTAGTCGTTGTTAGTATTACCCAAAACCTATAGTGTGTCGAACTCACGCATTCATCTCCTCGATAGTCAAAACCTTCTTCGCGTCTTCGACTTTGTATGTCGGAACATCTTTGTTGACGGAGAAACCTATTCACTAGTCAGAAAGCAATTCACCGCAGTATCATTGAAAAAAAAAAAGTCACTCACCAATCCGCTCGTTGATATTGTAGGCCGCCTTAGCTGCTGCAGCCTGTACCCTTGTTGCACGAGGCAGACGTACCTCCTCGTAAACAGCGAGGGTTTGAGCAATATCTCCAGAGAAATAACGCTTTCCAAATAGGAGTCCAAGTGCCGCCGCGTCTTCAATAGCCATGCATGCTCCTTGGCTTTGGTGAGGCATCATCGGGTGTGCAGCATCCCCCAAGAGACAGGTGTTACCGCGTTGGATATAAGGGTACGGGTCATGGACCCAGAGACGCCATGGCTTGATCTCTACCCCAATCTTCAAATGCTCAAACACTTGTCGGTCCAATTCCGGGTATGGGGCGAGGAGTTCGTCAACGGGGCGGTCTTCGGCCCCCCATGCCTGTGTTGTGTAGTCGCCTTGCTCACGCGGGAAGAAGCAGTAGTATGACAGAAGCTTGCCGCTGTTACAGGGTGACAGAACAATCTTATCCCATTTGCCTTCCTGTCCACCCCAGTACTCTAGTGCGCTATCCTCGGAGTAGTTCACCAGGCCGAGCCTAATGGCATCCTCGGTTTTGACATTGGTGTGCAAGCAGCTCTGGTCGGAGGCTCGCTTTTCTGGTGTGATTCCAAGAATCCCTCGAACGGCCGATCCGATTCCATCTGCACCGACGATTAGGTCGTGGCTTATAACCTCGCCGTTCTCAAAGACGACTGTACTCGTCTTCAGGTCGATATCACGGCACTAGATCCCAGGAAGCATTAGCGCGAGCTCGATTCCAGGCAGCTTTCAGTAATTAATGTACCCGGTAGTTCACTTTGAGTGTTGCTGGCGGTCCTTCACCCTCGCCCAGCGCCGAATCCTTCAGCATGGCATGCATGTACTGGCGATGGAACATGTTATAGACATATCCCCAGCGCTTCTCATAATCGTCGAGGTCGTACACACTGACGGGCTCACCCGTCTTCCAGTCGCGGTTGATAAGCTTCTTCAAAACCACAGGGTCACCCTTGGCGATATCCACGTTCCACTCGTGTAGCCAGCGGGTTCCATTGGCAGCACACGAAACCGAAGCGCCGACTTCACCTGCAAAGTCCGACTTTTCATAGATGGTCACAGTGTGTCCTGCACGACGCAAGGCAATGGCAACGGACATACCCCCGATACCTCCGCCAATAACGCCGACATTGAGACTCCTCCAACTTGACATGGTGTATGTAGATAAATCAATGAAGCTTGTGATTTTGAGGCAGATTGAATTGATGCAGAAGGCTGTGAGCGTAGAGGTGAATATATAGCAGATTCTCTCGTATTCAATCTCTTATCTCTACATCTTCCCATATACACTTCACGGATTTCTACGTCGGCTGGCGGATGGTGCACTCGGATCGCCGCGGGCCGCGCACTGGCGCTTATCTTCGGCTTTTATATCTCCCCTGCCTATCGGAATCGATTCGTCAAAAGCTGTGTTATCCGGGGACTGATGAACTATTCGTTACCATGTGAAGGATGAAGGAAGGGCTTCTCGAAAGATATAATAAAAATGTACTAAAAATGAAATAAACCAAAAAAAAACATACAACAGTGAGGATTCGCTGGTGGTCACCCACCCAACTACTAACTCACCGGCGTGTGGCTTAAGTACGGCTGAGCGGACGGGAAGCCCTGTTTTCCACACCCTATGGTCGTATGTATCGTATCTTCAGTAGAAGATGATGATATAATAAAACAAGCACAGTTGGTAGTGTAGGGTTGTAAATAGTTAACTACTTTACTCTCAATGTTTTGAAACATGAAGTTTTTATCGTATAACATATAAAAGTAAAGCTTTATATGTGTTAAAAAAAAAGAAATTCAAAATCAATCTCGTTTATTAAATATTTCAAAACAATTGTTGCTGTTTAATTTATATATAATGCTAGATATGTATAGAACTATATAGTAGCTAACTATTTCTACCCAAGTTTAAGGTTGCGGTAGTAAACTCCAATTTTATATAGTTACTCGGTTCTAGATTTGCCAAAAGAGCTACAGAAAGCCACCGATGAAGGTTATATGGAGGGAATCAAGGATGGACGCCTACCCGGGGGTCAATCGAGCGAACTTGCGAGGCCCGAAACCTGGGTGCGATGGGACTGAGGGGGGCTTTAGACCTTGGGTACTATGTGTCTCGCCAGTATTGGACATGCTCTAGATTATCCGGGGCCAGTGTCGGGTTGTTAGTAAGCTTAGGGATTCGGGGCTATTGTGGAGGGTTCGGCTCGCAGGGACACCAAGTAAGAGACTGTCTCAGTTACTCATATCGATGCTGATGAGAGAGGAGTCATCACTGTGCTCTGGTGAATATATCATGAATACGAGCACCTGACCTTTGGCATGTTTGATAAGTTTGTTCTTGGTCACATGCTCCCATTCCTCCTGAACATTTCATCAGATTCCTATTGACTCTGTGCCCCACAGGGCCGTTCTTAACAAATTATACAAAATTGCTCACGGAGCCAATTCCGCTATTTTGAATCTGACAAGAGACAAGGGCAATATCCTTGGCCTAGTTCGGTAACTAGTTTAAATGAAGGCCGATTATTCTGCCCGAAAGTGCTGGAGTATCACTAAGGTCCAATAATATCGTTTCCCCCACCCTATCGAGTGGCCGCCGTCACTGGGTGGCGTGTTGACTTCATTTCGATCAGATTCAAATAAAACAAATCAACTGTAAGCAGAATTTATTAATTATTACGCTATCATTACGTGTCAGCCTTCAAGTGCTGCAGGATCTGACTGCGTCACCCCAGACCGACTTGTTTATTGTCTGACAATGGGATATAACATAACCACGCAACCACACGTCTAGTGCTAATATCCAAATGAATTTCTCTCCAGAATCATCTCCGAAAAGAAACAATGAGATTGAATATCCTAACGACCAGTATGGCTTTGGCCTCACAAGCCATGGCTGCACTCTCTGAGTCGCCGGTGGAAAGGCGCTATCCAACAGGATCCTTCTCCATTCTTGCCTACGGCGTCGCCCTTGAGGGAGTCAGCGTTTTTTACTCCGATGGTTATTATAATTCTCCCTATGAGACTGATTCCCATCTGATCCGATAATTAGGACTCGCATATGTCGGAAATTCGTCCCAGTGGGTGTCTGGATCGACGACAACCGACGTTACGTGTAGGTTCTATTGCTCTTTTATTCCATTTGAACTTGTGTCTTGTGTTTTTCTTTTTTAACCAAGAGAGCTACTAATTCTCTGTTAGTCATTTTCAAAAACTCCCAAATCATCGCCACGGCTACTAACAAGGATTACACATTTGACACCGACACGTTCTTCTACATCCGTCCCACGCCCAATAAGGTGCTACCTGTGGGGTTTACTGGGAACGATGTCGATACACCGGATGATGCGAAGGCAGATCAATTTATTTTCTACGGCAGATATCTCATGTGGCAAAATGAGAATGGACTCCTGTGCGATTCGTTTCGTCTGAAGGACACGGATGTCGATGGTATTTACCAGCTCTACTGGGACACTTCGAACATTTATCCCCCCGGCTTCTTGATTCCAACTGTGAAGTCGTCTAATTGAGAGAAAGTGATTTTACACCTCGCATTCCTTCCCCTTGGGAGCCCAGGCCCATATAGTCCCACTAAAGATCATAGGTTCCAAAGATGCCCAGGTGGTTCGCCAAATCCTAGTAAACGACACATGTAATTCCCGGGTATAGTATAGGAATTCTATTTCATCATATTGTAGTCGATTCGGCGAGAAATGGGAAACTATCCCATAATGGCAAATCCATACCCTCCCAATCAAATAAAGCCCCATCAATCATGGGGGGTGAGACGGCAGGAGCTGTGCCATCGTTTGAATGTAACCACGCATATGATGTGACACTCTGCGATAGAAGTGGGGTCGCACTTCTCGCTTCTTCTTCTTCGCCCCTCTCACTTTGTGTCCGCGGTGTTGCCGGACTGTCGTTCAGGCTAAAGATCCGACTGACGTATTGACTCCGTCGCTGTCGGGCTTGGAGAGCGAGTTGCTGGCGTTGTTTGCTTATGGCGGCCTCTAGCTTCGTGATTATCTCCAGATAATGAGCTGCCTGAGCAGACTGCGACGCCAGCATGCGCAAGATGGTCAGGGCACCGCGGAATACACCATCAATTTCAGAATCCACATCATGTTGAGAGAACATAGAGAAGCCAAGCACAAGGGCTGCGGCGAAGATAAACGCTCTGTTTGATGAATGTTAGTAGTGAAGTCGCTAGATGGGTATTTGCGGAGACGAACTTGAGAATACACATATTCCGAAGAAGAAGGTCGGACTGATGAACCTCCAGACACGTTTGCAGCATGTATACAGCGGAATCAATACATACCGCTGAGAGCCGGGAGTGGGCTGGGTCCTCCTCGGGCACCTCACTGGGATCACCTGTTGAGAGGCTCTGGTGTAACCGGGCCAGCCGGACACTCAAGGCCGAGACGAGGAAAGGTCGGGTGACTAGGATTACTGCAAAGTGATACGAACATGCAACATGCATGTTTCCAATTGTATGCTTTCGGAAAGTGCTCTCATCTTTGTGTCCTGAGGACGACGTCCTTAATGATCGCGGCAGATATTCACACCAGCTATTTAACTTGCATAATAGGACATCTGCCTGCTGTGCGGATGCGGCCTTTTCACTGTAAAGACAGTTTATTATTTCGTCCAGGATCAACGATAACTGATATGAAGCCACTAGACTAGGATCAGTCGGTGCGCTCGCAATCGAACTAGGTTCTTGTCGATTCTCGGGCAATAGAGGTGATATGGCAGAAGGTCTTCCGAGGATCGAACTGACAAGCAAATCGAGAATGCATAAGCTCATCCATAATAGTGATCTATTGAGGATTAGCTGGGTCAAGTAGATCTTGCGAGAAGCTTTTACCGTTCATTGATCTTATCACTCTCGTCGGGAGTTATTGACCCTGGGAAGTCTGCATGGAACCCAAGCGCTACGGCTGCTCGTGATGCTACTCCCAGGTACATGAATGCCGTGTTTCGGCGGCATGCGCCCAGCATATAGAAGGACATGAGTAGAAACACTCGGACTAAATCCACGCTAGGGTCTTCCAGCATGTTGGCAAACGTCCTACGTTGACCGCGAGAAAAGTAGAACCGCTCCACCTGAAGGGTTCTCCGGTCGTTCGGGCAGGATTGTGCTCCGATAGCAACCATAAGGTCAATGATGGCCGCCCTAGTCTTTTCCCGGTCGGTTTTGGGCTCTGCTGGACCAGTAAATGCAGATGAAATATCGTCACTAAAGCTTAGATTGAAAAAGCCGCTTGTCTGGCATGTTGTCAGTGATTTATTCACACATCATAATTGGCATTGGTCCTACCGCTGCGTGATAATTCTGGATAAATTGATTCTTCTCATCAACTGTGCAACATTCCTCGGAGAAATTCAACAAATCATGATGGGCTTCTGCCTCTAGCATATCTTCACTTTCCCCATTATGAGAGAACTGGGAGGGCCCGATATGTTGGGTCACTGTATCCCGAAGCAATTGTAGAAATGACAGAGAGGCGGCTTTCCCGACGTACACTGCGGACAGTGTTAATCAAATGATGCGCATGGCAGTCGCAACATTTCATACCTCGTTCCCCTTGCAGGTTGCGGAGCATGCGGGGATGCGTCCGATGCGTAACTTCAGGCGAGTGCGATCCCGCCTCCAGCTTGTCGAACTCGAGATGGGGCGTACTGATATCATGAGACTGCGACTCTGATGGGGTTTGCAAATCGACTGTCATTCCCCTCCATGTCCGATGTGCCTCAACTGTAGGTTGAGAAGCAGGTGGAAGGCGGCTTCGGGTGCCTGCATTTGGTAAGGACTTGAATGGGGTGCATGAGCGGTCACGTCCTTTGTGAATACAGTTAGTACACGGGAAATAACCACTGCAGCGCTTTTTGGATGCACGACAGGCAGTGCATGCAGTGTTTGCTCGCAGCCGATTCGCTGGATGGACCTTGGGGCGTGGCATGCTTGAAGAGTCTACAAGTCCACGGGTCTGATGAGATCCCCGCATATCGGCGGTGATAACAGATAAGTGGATAAACAATAAGCGTGCGCGGGCCGACGCCCACGGGTATTCGGAAGAGGCCCTTAGAAAGTCTTTGGCATATGGAATAAACTTATGATAATAAATGTGCTACACATCATATACGATCCGCCATTTCGGTGAAACCAACGCCTTTCAGATACGCACAATATACATGTACCCAATTTGTATGTATGTTGTAGTGACATGCTAATGTTTCCCTGGTATACTTGACAAGAATCCACAGGGTGGAGTGAGAAATATATAATTTACAAAAATTTTGTGGAAACATGTGGTTTAGAAAAAAGAGCTGAATGTTTGCTTAAAGCGGATGGTGTATGTTGTATGTAGAGACTAGTTATGTGCAATAGTTACATACATGTAGTAGTTAACTACGGAGTACATACATAGTTATTCTATGTTGTATATAAAGTTCAAGATGCACGTCCCAAAGTATTGACACATATAATTGGAAATAATAACCTTGGAAGTATCATTGAATCAAGTAATAATGAAAAGCGATACAGCCCTGGAGACTAGTACTCAATACTCCGTACGGAGTACAACATACAACATAGAAAAAGACCGAAGTGGAAAATTTCTACAGAGGGTCCTCCCTAAGCCAAAGGATTGGCAGATGATTGGATAAAACCATAAAAAGGTCCACGAGTGGGCACAAGCCAAACCAAGCAAACATAGCAAACATAAAAACTCTCGCTTAACGCTAGTGTGATCGGCAAGAATATAAATAAGCCCAGGCCCCCGGACCTTCTTGTGTTTTTCAAGCGACTCTACGTATGTTCTCCCCCCCCCCCTACAGTTGAAAATACATCAATCACTGTATTGGAATATGTTACTGACCATTTCCACAGTTCAAAGAATCACTTTAGAGTAGACGTCCCCTTTCTAAACTCTTTAAAAGAGCCACAGAATCTCCACCCTTGCTGATGACTACATGTCCTCGACGCCCTAAAGTGAAACCTTTTTACTCCCGCCTCGACTGTCACGCGTGCTGTCCGCAGTGTCTGTGTTTCGGTCCAGGGAGTGGTGATGATCTTGACCTGGTCTCGACGTCTTGACTTCGGTCGGTCGGTCCTGGTGGGTGTCGAGGAGGTCTGAAAGGTCCTCCTACATTGGTAGATGGAATAGAGCGCTGTGAGGGAGTCATGCAGATAGCAAAAAAAAAAGAATATTCTATTCATCCATTCGAGTCTTTATTCAAATTAAGTTTTCGTAATCTTCTTGATGTAGTGCAAGGGGACAGGTTGCTATCCTAAACCTGGCCTCTGGTTTCGACCGCTATCTATATTTCGTCATCTTTTGGATAAATTATTGGAATCTTGTGCGTCGACCTTGGTCTCGCTGTCTTGACCTAGGTACCTACATTCTATTGGTCATAGTATATCAAAATCCTTTTACCTTGGCAATCATAGAGTCATCGGTTAAAACTTGTTATGCCTTCGGGTATCATGTCTCGTGAATTGTTAAAGAACTCAATATGTTGGCTCTGCCTCATTCCGCGTCGGTACCTCCAGTCTTCTCTGAAGCTCCAGCGCTCCCCTTGGGTCCCTTATTCCGTGATCCACGCCCTCCACGAGATCCGCGGGAGGAGCCAGCATTACTTCCAACATTACCGCCAGCCCCTGAAGCGCTTCCAGTAGCCTCGGTAGGAGCCTTGGCCTTATTGGCAGTGAAACTCTCGCGGCCTTTCCGAGACTTTTCAATTCCGGGATTCTCTTTGCGCTCCAAGACCACCACTTGACTCTGGGCCACCGACACGGGACTTGCAGCGATGGCTTTGCGAAGTGCTTCCGGTTCAGCAAAATCTATGTATCCGAAACCTTTCTTCTTGTCAATCTCGACCTTCGTCACTGCTCCGAATAGGGCGAATGCGGACTGTAGGAGCGCCTCGGTCACACCCTGGGATGGGTTGGCGTGCTTGAGGAATGCTTGTTTAGCAGTTGATGGGTGCTTTGCTTTGCCACTTTTAGTAGACTTGGCTGGTAGGATTGCAGGCGGGGCAGTAGCCGTATTGGGTCGCGAGGATGACTCGCCGCCCTTGGGTTTTGGAGAATTGGCTGCAGATGATGCGGTTTTGGGAGGCCTGGTTGTCTCCTTCTTGGATAGATCGGTTGTTAGGATAGCCGAGTCTCGAGAGCTCTCGTTCTTAGGTGACGCAGTATCAGTGGAACCACCTTTGCCGCGTCGTCGTCCACCAGATGTCGAGAGTCCAAGATCACGCTGAAGGATCTTAGTGGCTACTGTGACATTTCCGCGCTCTCTCTTCCGCTCTGGAACTGCAATTGTGTCCTTTGTAGTGCTTGATGTGGTACTTGACTTGCTTCCCTTGGTATTGGCAGCCGGTCCTTGCTTGGTTGCCTTGCCAGAGTCCTTGGTTGTCTTCTCTCCTCTGGGTTTCTTGTCGGAAGAGTTTGCCGAGGGGTCCTTATCGCCTCGTTGCAAAAGCTTTTTCGCTTGCACTTTCTCTTGCTTTGATTCCTTGTCCGACCGACTGTGTTTGGATTTGGACCCGCTGCCGTCCTTTAACTTGCTAGCTTTCTTGTCTTTGATGAACTGTACCAACGGGGTAGTCATTATCATTTCCTTCTTCTTGTCCTCGCCATCCGCCGTGGAATCCACTGCCGCGGGCCTGGTAATGGGCTGGGTCAGACTTTCCAAGAAAGCGATGAAGTCTGAATCTTGATCTATCGTGCCTTGACGAGCATCCTTGCGTGAGCGGCTTCCGGGTGTCTTAGCATAAGGTGCAAACTCTAGCGATGGAGGCCCAAGTAGAATGGGGTCATGCAGAGTGTTACGAGCATCCTGGAAAGAAGCCTGGCGCACGGCGTCCGAGAGCAAAGAGACACATTCGGTGGACACAACGTGGATATATGCTCTTGATGGACGAGATGGTTTGTTAGGGCTATTTGAAGAAGTCCAGTTAGTCAAAATCGATAGGACATTGTGTCAGAGGATGGTGAATCCTACTCCTTTGATACCTTGCCAGGTTTGTACTGAAGCCAGTCAACGTTTCCTGCCCCGGCCTTCCACTGGTCCCCAAGAGCACTCTCCAGCTCAGCCTGTGTTAGCCCGGGCGGCAAACGTCGAATCAGAAGTTTGAGACGTGGTGCGGGAGGTTTGGGTGTTTTCTTTGCGGGCGCTCCAGAGCCCGACTTTTGCGTAGCTGCTGCCGAAATTGGGAGTAGACCGGCGGTAGTCTTGCCGGGTTGCATGATATTGGGCCTTTTCAATATGAGGAACTGAGGCTGTCTTTATCTTTCCCAAGAGGAAGTTCATGGAAATCCCAAAGGATGTTAAAGGGAGCCCACCTTGTCTAGTTGATAATACTTGGGCATTTACAGGACTGGAGGCGGTGTGATTGGACATGCGCTCTCACCGCCTATGTGATCAGTCATCATTGTCCTGAGCACGTGACTAAGTGCCATGGCCCCGGGGATGGATCCATTCCAAGGTTGCTACCGACATGTACGGAGTACTCCGTATGTAACCTTCAAATGTTCATTATCAGTTCCAAGGTTATCTGATAACCTGCCCGGGCATTTATACTAACATACATGTACATGCACCGTAACTACATGGTTGATATATACATATATATATGTGTCTCTAGATGCCATTTGATTCCACTGAAAGAGCCTACTTTTATACACTGTATGAATTTGCTACAGCTGATCTTCTCATGGACTATTGGTCAGAATGCAGACTCGGCCCCGAGGTGATCCCGACCGCCCGAGGTTAAAACAGGCTTATCGATAAGCATCTCCGCTCTCTTCAACCTTCCAACACTCTAAATGCCCACAATGAGCGACGAGAAGAGCCCCGTCTTAGAGAGCCAAGGAGATGCACCGAATTTGAGGCAAAAGAAACGTCCCTTTAACCTACTCTGGCTGTTTGTCTGTGTCATTCTAGTGGGTGCTTGGTTTACTCGCTCGCGCTCACCTTTCCCCCCCCTGAGCATCGAGGAAAGGGTGGAGAGGATCCTGTCACAGACTCCATTGATCGGTATGGAGATTGCAAAGAATAATTCTGTGTGGAAAATTATGACTGATGGCCTATAACAGACGGTCATGACGACTTTCCCATCTTGGTCCGGGAACTCTTCCACAACCGTGTAAATGATCGCAACTTCACCGAGGCTTTTGTCAAGGGAAAATTTCCTGGCCACGTTGATATCCCTCGATTGAAACAAGGTAGAGTTGGTGGTACGTTTTGGAGTGTTTTCGTACCCTGTCCCGAGAATGGGACCGATTTCTCCGACGAGAATTACGCAGCAAGTAAGGGAACTTGATCCGATGGCTGTTGCACAGTAGTATACTCATATTGAAATCACAGGCGTGCGAGAGACGATGGAGCAGGTGGACATCATGTCAAGGGTTCAGCAAGCTTATCCCAAGGTCTTCTCGAGTCCCCCTAATGGTACCACTGCCATGTCCGCTTTCCGCGAGGGAAAGATCATCTCACCGCTCGGTATCGAGGGATTGCATTCCATCGGCAACTCGCTGGCTCATCTCCGGATCTTCTATGACCTGGGTGTTTCATACGCAACTCTAACACATAATTGTCATAATCGATATGCCGACGCCGCCGTCCTCGAACTTCCAGGTGGTGGAATAAAAAAGTCCGATCCTCTCTGGCATGGCGTCAGCGAAGAAGGCCAGAAGCTAGTGTTTGAGATGAACCGCCTTGGGATG